GAGAGAGAGAGTCTGAAGATCTCCTTGACGAGATGAAAGTACCAAAGACTCGTTGTTGAGATTTTTTCTTTTTATATTATATCTTCGCCGATCATTTTTCTGCTTTTATAATATATATAGATATATATTGTAAAGACACTTGAACATCTAGCTGGTAAAATCAGCCTCCCGAGGCACGGAGTGACACGTTGGAGAGGGTACGGAAGGGAAATCTTTAAGTTACACTTACTAAAACCAAACGCTTGACAAAAATATGTATATGCACGTGCTTTCTCGTGCCTAAGGTACATGTAGCTACGTATACGCTACTGGGCGTTGATAATTTTATAGAAAAATCGAATAGCGAATGACAATGTAGTAAATACAGAAATTAATTATCTATGTGTTGTTATACCTGATTTGACGCTTTATACCATTCCATGTCCCAGTCTCTATAATAAATTAATGATATCCGGTTCTTAATTTGCATAATAATTATCCTTCATATTCAGATAGCAATTCAAAGTAATCCCATGGTTTTCCCATGTTGAACAAACTAATCATGGCGAATTCAATTTATTAATTTTCAACATTAGTGTTGATGTGTTCTACAAACAAGGCTATATTTTAAATAATACCTCAGACCAAAGTGATTAAAACAATCAGAATATATCTTAAATAATACCTCAGACCAAAGTGATTAAAACATTCAGACTATATTTTAGATAAAACCTCAGACCAAAGTGATTAAAACAATCAGAATATATTTTAAATAAAAACTCAGACCAAAGTGATTAAAACAATCAGTTTTCGATGTGAGGACGTGACATTACTAAGCTTTGACCTATATTTACATGAATTCTCGATATGTGGTCGTGACATTACTAAGCTTTGACCTATATTTACATGAGTTCTCGATGTGAGGGCGTGACATTACTAAGCTTTGACCTATATTTACATGATTTCTCGATGTGAGGAAGTGACATTACTAAGCTTTGACCTATATTTACATGAGTTCTCGGTGTGAGGTCGTGACATTACTAAGCTTTGACTTATATTTACATGAGTTCTCGATGTGAGGACGTGACATTGCTAAGCTTTGACCTATATTTACACGAGTGTCCTCGATGTGAGGACATGACATTACTAAGCTTTGACCTATATTTACATGATTTCTCGATGTGAGGAAGAGACATTACTAAGCTTTGACCTATATTTACATGAGTTCTCGATGTGAAGATGTGACATTACTAAGCTTTGACCTATATTTACACGAGTTCTCGATGTGAGAACGTGACATTACTAAGCTTTGACCTATATTTACACGAGTTCTCGATGTGAAAACGTGACATTACTAAGATTTGACCTATATTTACACGAGTTCTCGATGTGAGAACGTGACATTACTAAGCTTTGACCTATATTTACATGAGTTATCGATGTGAGGACGTGACATTACTAAGATTTGTCCAATTTTTACACGAGTTCTCGATGTGAAAACGTGACATTACTGAGATTTGACCTATATTTACACGAGTGTCGGCGATGTGAGGACGTGACATTACTAAGATTTGTCCAATTTTTACACGAGTTCTCGATGTGAAGACGTGACATTACTAAGCTTTGCCCTATATTTACACGAGTGTCGTCGCTGTGAGGACGTGACATTACTAATCTTTGACCTATATTTACATGATTTCTCGATGTGTGGACGTGACATTATTAAGCTTTGACCTATATTTACATGAGTTCTCGATGTGAGGACGTGACATTACTAAGCTTTGACCTATATTTACATGAGTTCTCGATGTGAGGACGTGACATTACTAAGCTTTGACCTATATTTACATGAGTTCTCGATGTGAGGACGTGACATTACTAAGCTTTGACCTATATTTACATGAGTTCTCGATGTGAGGACGTGACATTACTAAGCTTTGACCTATATTTACATGAGTTCTCGATGTGAGGACGTGACATTACTAAGCTTTGACCTATATTTACATGAGTTCTCGATGTGAGGACGTGACATTACTAAGCTTTGACCTATATTTACATGAGTTCTCGATGTGAGGACGTGACATTACTAAGCTTTGACCTATATTTACATGAGTTCTCGATGTGAGGACGTGACATTACTAAGCTTTGACCTATATTTACATGAGTTCTCGATGTGAGGACGTGACATTACTAAGCTTTGACCTATATTTACATGAGTTCTCGATGTGTGGACGTGACATTACTAAGCTTTGACCTATATTTACATGAGTTCTCGATGTGTGGAGGTGACATTACTAAGCTTTGACCTATATTTACATGAGTTCTCGATGTGAGGACGTGACATTACTAACCTTTGACCTATATTTACACGAGTTCTCGATGTGTGGACGTGACATTACTAAGCTTTGACCTATATTTACATGAGTATTCGATGTGTGGAGGTGACATTACTAAGCTTTGACCTATATTTACATGAGTTCTCGATGTGAGGACGTGACATTACTAAGCTTTGACCTTTATTTACATGAGTTCTTGATGTGAGGACATGACATTACTAAGCTTTGACCTATATTTACATGAGTTTTCGATGTGAGGACGTGACATTACTAAGCTTTGAGCTATATTTACATGAGTTCTCGATGTGTGGTCGTGACATTACTAAGCTTTGACCTATATTTACATGCGTTCTCGATGTGAGGACATGACATTACTAAGATTTGACCTATATTTACATGAGTTCTCGATGTGAGGACGTGACATTACTAAGCTTTGACTTATATTTACACGAGTTCTCGATGTGAGATCGTGACATTACTAAGCTTTGACCTATATTTACATTAGTTCCGGATGTGTGGACGTGACATTACTTGGTCGTGACATTACTAAGCTTTGACCTATATTTACATGAGTTCTCGATGTGAGATCGTGACATTACTAAGCTTTGACCTATATTTACACGAGTGTCGTCGATGTGAGGACGTGACATTACTAAGCTTTGACCTATTTTTATATGAGTTCTCGATGTGAGGACGTGACATTACTAAGCTTTGACCTATATTTACATGAGGTCTCGATGTGTGGACGTGACATTACTAGCTTTGACCTATATTTACATGAGTTCACGATGTGAGGACGTGACATTACTAAGCTTTGACCTTTATTTACATTAGTTCTCGATGTGAGGTCATGACATTACTAAGCTTTGACCTATATTTACATGAGTTTTCGATGTGAGGACGTGACATTACTAAGCTTTGACCTTTATTTACATTAGTTCTCGATGTGAGGTAATGACATTACTAAGCTTTGACCTATATTTACATGAGTTCTCGATGTGAGGACATGACATTATAAGCTTTGACCTATATTTACATGATTTCTCGATGTGTGGACGTGACATTACTAAGCTTTGACCTATATTTACATGAGTTCTCGATGTGAGGACTTGCCATTACTAAGCTTTGACCTATATTTACACGAATGTCGTCGATGAAGAAAAAACGCTTACCCTTCCGAAACACCTGGTCAATGTAAATATATTCTTTGTTCATATTTTGCCCTAGTTCAACCCCCCCCCCCCCAAAAAAAAACAACCTTCCAAACACATTTTCTTTATTATTTCTAGCAATTGTTTGAAATATGTTCCTATATTCCTACATTTTATTTAAGTGTGTTACAGTTTTGTGTTATCTTTCGACATAACGGTATTATATGTATGTTAAGTTATGCATACGTTTTCATCCTTTTCATGTTTTACACCAGATGTCTTAAAGGAATTCATTATATAACTCACATGCGATTTAGAATATAGGTTGGGTAACAATTATCGGAGATGACAAGGTCACCATGGAGATGATCACGTGACCAATATGCTTCTAAATAAGTAGTGTTTGGACGATGGTCCCGTGTTACATGTAACGAGGTGTACCAGTAATCTATATTTGTAGAGGTATTGTGTACCCTACTTTAAGTGATCTAGGTTTACACTATCGTTGTTGACCCACTACCAGTGTCATTAACTTTTTTAAGATTGCTTATTCTGTAGTGATAATGATCGATGTATTGATATTTATGACTGAACCTTTTTTCCACGATGAATGTTTAATACGTGTTATCTGTTGATGCTGATGGATATAACTGATAAATGACGCCAGGTTTTTGTGTAATAAATAATGGATGACGAGTGAAGGAATCATGGATTTCGTGTCTAGATTGGACGCATGACGAAGTCGTGTCAATATGGAGTCCGTTTATAAAAAGTCGATGTAAGTCTATTAGTCTGCAACCCTTGTAGTAGGAATTCATAACTGAACTTAACATAAGTCATAAGTCCGAATCACTGTCAGTTTGTTAGACATAGCATTATGAAGACATAAGATTTTTTATTTTTATTTTTTTTTTCATATTTTTATCTTTTTGTTAAATTCGTATTCCATTATGTATCAATTATTCCTTTTTTATTCTAAAGCTATTTATTCATTTGTATTTTTTTTATAAAATTTCTTGAATGTCTCACTTCCTTATAACAATACTGACCTTTGGTAGAGTAAAATATCACCCACCTCATTTAAATGCACATGTATTACTTGGAATATGTTTATGCAACCCTGTATCTACAGTTATCTTTATTAGTATAAAAAAATATAAGTTTTTTTGTTATTTCAAATGCAGTTTGCTAATGAACTTCTATTTTAAGTCAATGGACTACGTTAAAGAATTGCTTCAAAACGTAGGTGTTTCAAGGAACTTAATCTAACTATAAATAGGTATACTGTACGTCAGAAAATGGTAGGTTTCCAAAATAGTAGAATAAGATAGTCATAGAAATGATATCATGACTGTAGCATGGTGACATATGGACCAGTTTCCTTACCGATATATTGTGTAAATTCATTTAGTCGTCAGACGCTTTAAGCTGTCCCGACGGTGTAAAACTTTATATATTTGCATTGTTTTTAAAGTGATCTTATTCAAACGTTAACAAAACAACTCGCTTCACCTTTGTGTATCATTTCACATTTGTATGCATTCTATTTCCCGGTGACCGACGACACAACGACCATACAGTTAATAGCGGATGTTTGATAATGCTAACTTCCGGTGTACAATAACATAATATACAAACAAAATGAGGGTCATTATTTCCGTAATCGCGTTGATATAACAGGTTATAAGATATTCCAACACATGTACAGGTATTTCCCGTTTAACAGGATACATGAGTGAAATATTGAGTTTATGTAGTGGACAAAATTTTAAACAGGTATATAGCATCTTTTGAAGGAAATTGTTAAAAGTGGGAAAAAAGTCTATTAGTTACATTACTATTGAAATATTTCAATCCTAGTACCTCTCATCATGCTGGTTAAACTGAAACTGGGTGGTCGGGTGGTGCAGTGGATAGCGCACTTGACTTTCACAAAGGCGGCCGGGGTTCGATTCCCCGATCGGACGTGAAAAGGTATGGGGTTACCTGCCCGACCAAGTGGGTTTTCTCCGGGTACTTCGGTTTCCTCCCGCAATAAGACCTCCCGAGCGCTAACATCCGGGCCAACAAGAGTGATTAATTTAAGTTGAAATAACTTATTTCATAATTGTTGTAAAATAAATCAAGTTTATTTTTTAAACTGAAAGGTTATCTACCGGGTAACTGCTGCCGTAGATGAATTAAATAATTCCGGATTTATATCAATGTTAATGTCACACAACCGAACTTAATGATATCCGAGCTACATCCTTGTAGATCGAATTTCTCTTCACTTTTTTTTAACCGTATGACATATACGCCTGGTACGTCTTACCGTATCTGTACACGTGAAATATAATAAATATCAAATATGTAGAAAGAATTAACTTCCCTCCCGTATGGGAGTTGAACATGGATTTAACGTTTGATTTTTTTTTATTGAGTTCCAAAGCCCTATCGAGTTTGGTTCGTAAAAACCTAACTAAGTTATTGAGCGTCTCTCATATCACAGGGCTTTGCTTGTTAGGAAAATGTACTAACGAAGTTTGCAAATAAGAAATAATGTGATCTTAAGCATCAGGCACTAACGGGCACAAAGCCTTAAGTTAACTTTGAACATTAAAATTTTTGACTGATTTGTTATCCGTCTGCATGTGAAAAACACTTTAGGACAATTATCATCAAAATTCTTATGAATTAGCTTCATATTGAAGATATGAGTTCCATGGGCTTCCAGAATAGAATGTGCACTCAGAACGGTGTTAATAGCTCCGGAGTCTCTAATCTTTTGTTTGGTTTCGGCAGGAAAGAGTAAAGTCGTATATATGACAAGTATGGTGGTTACAGTATGAGTATCGTGTGAAACAGTTTATTTTATCGTAGAATCATGGATAAGGGAATATCCGAATGGTGTTGGAGAAGTCTACCAATGCTATTCCCTTCTCGCCTGCATGGAGAATGTTTCCTCTGCCAGAGTAGTCCTCTAAACGGGCCGTCTTCACAGCCTTCCCGGCCGATGTCAGGACTGTCAGCTGCCTCTCCGCGTTACCTATAAAAGTATATATCAAACCTGCCTTGCTGGTTAGACCCCGAGATGTTCCGGGTGGCTGGTATAACCATAGTGGCTTCCCGTCCAGCGTAAAAGACGCGATGAAGTTACTACCTTCCACGTTTGTCAGACGTATAACAATACGATCGTCACTGGGAATTGTAAAAGACTCGAAATCTGGAAATAAATTTGTACCATGCAACCTTTCGTAGCTAGTGTCTGTCAAATGAAGCACCTGCAAAAGCTGGCCGTCATGTTGTATCAAATGGATACGGGTGTTCATGGCGAGTGCAGACTTGTGCTCGTCAGTGCTCAGTGAGATCATATCTGCGGGGGCGGCGATGGTGGATGCAACCAGCCGAGTTTCGTCCACCTCCTTAATGATATAGTAAGGAAATTCGACGCGTGCTGTCCTGACGATTTTTAGACCAGTCGTAGTACTGACACGAGTGAGGGATTTGTCGTTAGGTTGTGTCACAATGACGTCATCAGTTCCCCGTAAAATGGTCAAACCATAGGGACCAGTGATGCGCACCCAATCAATCATTTCCTGTTGCAGATTGAATCTCTTGACCTTTAGCCTTTGTCGATCTACCACAAGCACAGTATTGGAGATCAAAACTACATCACTGAAGGAACACATTTCATGCTTCCAAGAATTTCCCGATTTTGCGTGAATCTTACAAATCGGGACCAAATTCTTATTCTCAAGTTCACTAGCGTCACTTCCAAAGAATATGCTATTCTTTTTGTCACCGAATTTCAATTCCTCTGTTGCAATTCCCTTGTGAGATGTGATATTAACAGAATCGTGATCACAGTTAACCAGTGATCTACACAGTGTGACGAACTCTTCCTTAGCTAGAAGACGCAATGTGTTGCATTCCTCAGCGAGCAGAAGGTCCGGTATTGTCGCTTCGTACTTATGATGATTTTTCCTTAATGTTTCGAATTCTTTTAGAAGTTCTGGTACACTCCATTCAGTGGGACATTTGGACAGTTGTGTGAATCGCGCGAGATCAGCATCCATGGCTTTCTTCAATTGCAAGGCATGTTGCGAGCACGTGTGCTCTGACTTGCCAGTGACATCTCTTCTCAGGTTCTGGAGCGAGTCTTTCATTTTTAGTGTTGCAGTTTCGAACAAGACTCCAATGCTATCTATGCTTTGAGATACTTCCGTTTTCGACATGCGAAATAATTCCTCTTTCGGTTTACGCTGCTTGATGACGTCATCAACACGTGGTACGAGGTTCTTCACGTGTGTAGCAAGTACCGTAATGCATTTGGCTAGGGAGGATGTAGACAGCTTTTCAAATCTACGAAAGAAAAACAACAGCACCAATTAGGCTGGGACATATATCTACCACGTAAATAGTAAAGAAAAACTTTAAATGGAATTCAGTTATTCAAATCTTATGGAAGCATACCACAATCTTGAAATCTAGAACTACAAATAGGTTGCTATCTCGCAATTTTTTAAAAGTAAACCAGAAGTGAAACGTCCGATTACTATAAATAAACGATTACGAAAAACACAAATAAATGTTACATTTAATTCACATGAGTCTGATTATGAGAATTAATGACAATATGTTTAACCTCACCCGATGTGTAGCAAGTACAACTTGATGTATTACATGTTTGCCGATCGTTCATCTGAATACTGGATAGCCTTATGATACTACACCTTCACATCAAGAACATTAAAATAATAAATGCTTAATTAAGTGATTAAATTTGATCGGAAACGTTCATTAAAATATCAAAGTTTAAGGAAACAGTCCAAACATATTGTACAAATAGTAGTAGCGGATAGCGGAAAACAGTGCTATCTTCAAGATGTTATATCAACAGGATATACACTCGCACCTGTCCGCTTGGTTCGTGGCTGAGCATGCGTGGTTCTCTTGCACACATCTTTGGCAGATGACCCTATTGCAGCCATGACAGACTGTGTCACGAGCCGTACCCGGATGTGACGCACAGCTGGTATCCATGGATTCGAATCTACTTTTCGCATTTCTACAAATGAAAAAATTAAATATTAGCAGGTATTTCAGTATATGGTCTGGGACATACATCTTACGAGTCTTATTGAAGATATAGATTAGTCTGCATATCTTCTGACATACTTCTGTCGCCCTCAATTCTGCTGTCCCCCTCTTTCTCCTTTCCCCTCTTTGTTTTTCATTTGGTACATAAAACCGACCCGAATGCACAGCGCCTTTGACATAACTGTATTTCCAAACCCTCAAGTCTCCACACTGTGATCGTTTTAGCCATGTTTCCCTCCGGGTTCGTAACCATCGCCCAAACCATCTTCGTGGTATATTTGTTCGGCCGATCTGTCGGCGACAAGGTTGGAGTCCTGAAATTCATCGTTACTTAATACTAAATACAACCTTAATTGTATTGTTTAGTCTGGATCCTGATTAGTTCGCCTTCTCTTACAGCCATATTTCTACCTTTAAATAATGACGTATTGCTCCGATCATCAACCGATTTAAGGAGATAAACACAGAAAAATAAAGGAAGAAGAAGACACGATTTAAGGTGATAAACGCGGAAAAATAGAGGAAGGAGAAGACAAAAGAATTGACCGAGGGAACTAATGGAGAGCTAGCATGCAAACAATAAAACTAAACTAACCTGAAGCAAAAAAGTTTGAAAATCGAAACTAATAAAGTTTCATTCTCAAGTAAATTACATAACGTTGGGATATATCTATCTTAACAAACACTTCCTGGCCTGGGCCCGTATTCATGAAACCATTCTCATGCTCTAGCATATATTCTGTGCTCCAACCAGTTTGCTTGTAACTTGCTTAAAAACATTTAAACTAGCTTTCTGCTTGTGGTCTCTCGAATATTCTTCCAATTCACGGACAAGAAAATGATTTTTTATTTATTTATAACTGGAACAAGAAATTGGGCTTGAGCACAGAATCTGAGTCTGAGCATGGGATTCGTTTCATGAATACAGGCCCTGGACTAATCTTGGCTTGGTGCCGAGGCACTTCGACAGCTTGTGTGGGTTGGTAAGATTGTATTATAAATCGTTAGAAAGCGTAGGGAAAGCGTAGGGATGGCTTTGTACAGGTAATTGCTTGGATGACAGTTTTCTTCAAGCATTCCCGAGCTGGTGAGTCGGCAAGGAGATCATAAACTGACAGAAGGTTGCATGGGTGAAGTATGTTGCTGATCTTGACGAGCCAACTATGGTTGTCTTCATCTTTGAATGCTAGCTGGCGTGGGGCAACACCACATTACGCTGTACCTTGTACGCATGATGTAACCGCGCAGATTCAGATTCGTTATTAGCCGAGAGCCATNCCCCCCCCCACACACACACACACATACATCTACATACGTAATCAGGAGAGTGATAACGAAATATTTGAACACATTGTGATACAATTGTACATGCATACATAATCAGTAATACTTAAATACTAAATTATTAAATACTAAGGACTATAATTAAATACTATATACTTGAACACATTTAAGGTTTTCACGTTTCCTCGTAGCATAATGTAGATACTTCACAGTGTTACAGTTTTTTGACATTATTTACACTCAAAAGTTTTATTAATTTGAACACACTTGGATTTCTGTAGGAAAATTCTTTTATATATTTATCCCTTAACTCTTTATAAAACGAACACTTCAATATGAAATTGTATTCATCCTCTACATCACCGTCAGTACATCTGTTACACAATCTATTTTCGCTACCAATATTTCTACGACGTCCAGTTTTTATATTAAGATTGTACGCAGATAATCTAAACCTAGTAATCATACGTTTATATTTTTTTCTTCAAAATGCTTACATAAATAATATTTTATACCAAAATTATCAGAAAGATGTTGGTACAAAACTTCTTGAGATGAGTTTTTAATTCTACTAAGCATACCTTGTTTATTTACGTCTAATAATCTTTGTTTTATTACATTATATGCAGTAGATACAGGTAAATCATTCTCAAACAAATAATCAAGACCTAGAACCGTCAATTCATGCTTTATATTACCCATCCAAATATCATGTTCACTCACACACTCGTCATAACATGCCTTCAGAATACAATTGTCTGTGCACTTTAGTTTTAACCAATATTTAATAGCTCTTAATTTTCTAGTAACTAACAATGGTAATCTTCCTAATTCATGGTACACTAAATCATTACTTGTACATTTTCTTACTCCTGAAGTTTTCTTACAAAATGCTAAATGTACCTTCTCTATAGCATATGCATTATGAAATCCCCATATTTCTGATGCATAACCAAGGATACTACCACGGAATTAGATTATGTTATCTAAGTCCGTGATACTACTAATATATGTATCAAAAACAGAACAAAGCGTTTCTAAATTTAAAGAATAGTTTCTTAAAGAGGACATTAGTGAAAATAAAGCCTTTTTATCCTGGTCTGTAGCAAACAAATTATATAAATGATTTTGTCTTGATCTTTTTAAACGATCCAGCATGTCACCTTCTTGCCGTTTGTACATTGTAAATACGTTTAAGCCTAAACTCTGTGAGCTTATACCGTCGTTTTGCATTTGTCAGAACCTCGTGATTAGCAACAGATTTGTTCTTATTAAAAACACTTAAGGCTCTCTTATATTCAATAAAAAAAAAGTTTTACATTCTTCTGTAACCCAAGGCTTACCAACGACTCTATTGTTTCTATTTCTAAACTGGATAGGGTAGTCATTTGTACTGCTACCGTTCTTACAATAAGGTACAGTGCAATCATTTATGCTATTACATATATTTGAAACACATTTGTTAACTGATAATTGACTCGACAGTTCAATATCCAATTCTTTCTCAATATTTTCAATATTCTGTTGTAATTTATACAGAATAAGATTGGCATTTGCTTCATTTCACCTAGCTGTTTTACATTTCGATCTAACATGATCGTCTGTATTTAAACATTGACGCACAATTTGCTGGTCAGGTATCGGAAGCCTTATAAGTATATCAAAAGACAAGGGTGAATGACCAGACAGAGTGTTGAACTCACGCCAGGAAAAGTTTCGAACACATGTCATATATTCACAATCAACAAGTAAATAATCAATAAGACTTGTAGCATTATTGCTACAAAAAGTAAAACTTCCTTCTCTATCGCTTGTATGACGCCCATTTACAATGCGCATGCTGGTTGATTTGCATACTCACAACAATTTTCTTCCTAAAGTATTAAAACAGTTTTGTCCATGTTATTGACGCGGAGCAGCAGTAGGCTGTTGACGTCCTTTGCCAAGGGCTGAGGTGGACCGTGTGCCCGCCTGTCCTGTAGTAAGTCCACTTGGCGAGTTAATATCCAGCTGAGAGCTGATAAGTACTGTCTCAGCTAGGCTGTACATAAGTGGTCTAGTATAGCAGATTACCGAAGTACATGTACTTGGGGATCATATTTTAAATCTTTCTGAAGACGATGGGCACTCCGTTTGCCGGTTAAGATATCACAGGTGAAAAGAAATGTTAGGGTTCAGGCCGTTCCTGCACTGTAAACATGCACCAAGGAGTGCCTCCTCAGTACTCCAAAGGTTACGCTCACTTTCGTTCTCTACACCCCTGGAATATGTCATAGGAAAACTGAAGGCACGTGGCTAGTCATTTGATTTGTCTCAGGTAAAAAAAAAATGGGCCCGTATTCATGAAACCGTTCTCATGCTCAAGCATTGATTTTGTGCTGATCTGGCCATTCCATTTGACGTTTTGTAGGTGATACTGCTCGAGTCCGTCAGTAGTACTATATGTCTGGTAGATACTGCTAGAGTCCTTCAGTTGTACTATATGTCTGGTAGATACTGCTAGAGTCCTTCAGTTGTACTATATGTCTGGTAGATACTGCTAGAGTCCTTCAGTTGTACTATATGTCTGGTAGATACTGCTAGAGTTCGGCAGTAGTACTATATGTCTGGTAGATACTGCTAGAGTCCTTCAGTAGTACTATATGTCTGGTAGATACTGCCAGAGGCCGTCAGTAGTACTATATGTCTGGTAGATACTGCTCGAGTCCTTCAGTAGTACTATATGTCTGGTAGATACTGCCAGAGGCCGTCAGTAGTACTATATGTCTGGTAGATACTGTTAGAGTCCGTCAGTAGTACTATATGTCTGATAGATACTGCTAGAGTCCTTCAGTAGTACTATATGTCTGGTACATATTTCTAGAGACCTTCAGTTGTACTATATGTCTGGTAGATACTGCTAGAGTCCTTC